TTTGACCATGCCAATAACCCTTTTCCGTGACTCCCATATTCCATGCGTACTGATGTTGATATATGTCCGACCTTCCAAGTCCGGGCAGATACGTTCATTGATCCCTGCTCGGTCTAGATCTCGCGGTAGTCTGCCGGCCTTTGCACATTCCGTCTGGCTTGATGGCGATGTGGATTAACCGGCTTGCGAAAGTACGCGCTGTCTTCCTCGTTGGTCGTCGGAGCGCTGAAAGTCGTCCGCTGTTGATTAGCAAATGAACCCATTCCTTGGCCATTCATGCTCTGGCCATTCATTCCAATGCCATTCATGTTCATGAAGCTATTGCCCGGCGCATTATATTGATTGTAGCCACCATTTGGCATCATACTGTTCTGGAAGCCACCCCCCGCCATGTTCATGATTTGCTGTGGAAAGCCGCCTCCCCACACGTTATTCCAGTCGTTCCCCGTGAATGATCCATTTGCCATCAGCATAGGGTTCGGCATCGCACCATTCATGTTCATTACAGGCGCCATGCTCATCGGCACGCCCATGAAGCCATTCATGTTGGGAAAGGCCATGGAATTCATCGCTTGCGGCATTGTGAAATTCCCATTCGAGAGCGAAGGTTGTTGATTAGCAGGCATGTTGGATGCTACGCCTGTCTTCTGCTGGTGGAATTCTGACTTGGTACCGTTGACAGATTTATGCTCTGGAACTCCAACAGCGGGAGCAGGTGCCTTACGCTCGTTGGCAAGCTCTGACTCGGCAGGCCGTTTCCGTGAAGTGGCACTAATGGCCTGAGATTTCTGCGGCGGCGTTGTCTTGACTGAGTCGTTGTTAGGTGGCGAGTCAACACCTTTCTGTGGCCCACCTTTGACCGGGCTCTTCGAGCTCTCTTTTCGAACCTGATCGGCAGCCTTTTCTTCCTCATAGCTTCGAACCTTGGTCATCATTTGCTCATCAGGCACTAGATCGTCAATCGGAACGTTCTCAGTAGAACACTCGGGGCAGCGCAAGTCGTTTTCGAGTAATGTATTAGTGATGCAATCACGGCAAAACGTTGATTGACAGCATGGTGTCTTTGTAGGATCTACAAACAGATGCTTGTCGATCGAGCATTCTAATCCTCTGTCATGAAGCTCTTTACTACCACGCGCAGCAGCTTCCTGGGCCACGGCAGCAACCTTAGCCTTCGCCTGAAACTGCGCCCATGCTGCTTTGTCAGGTTCTGCGATGACCCATTCTCCCTCAGCATTGACCATGATTCCCGCCGGTTGTTTTGTGTCATCCATGGTACCGTCGTTGACGAGCGACGTCGGCTTCTGAATCGTTTTTAGGAATGAGCGAGGGATTCCTGTTGTGCGCTTTACACGAGGTCGACCGTCGTATGCAGGGTCGTCGTTCGTGGGACACACCATAATCCAATGGCCCTTTTCGCCACATCGGTAGCAAATATATCCAGGAGGAGGAGGATGATCTGGCAGGTTCGCCGGTTTGCCTTTATTGGGGCCAGCGCGGTGCACTGGTGTAGCACTTTCATTGATTCATTTTAGTAGTCAAACTCCTTCATTCCGTGGAGACTCGAAACTTACCTGGCCATTTCTTGTTGTTGCTGCGCCCACTGATCTGCGCCCATTTTGAACATTGCCGCGATCCTTTCCTCTTCGTTCTGGGCTCCGTTCATCGCTGTTGCCCCATTGGATGCGTTGGAAGACGAGGGTTTAGTTGCGGGGGCTTCCATTCGATGAAAATTCTTCGCATTTTGAGGTATCTTGCCAGATACATATCGTGCAGCCCCTCCTCGTCCTGCTTTCACAGCAGGAAGTCTCTTCGCGATGACGGTAGTCGATCGGGGTATTATTGAGGTATCGTCATCGTACTCTGCAGCCATTTTAGATTCTCGGACACGACAAATTCCACGGGGAGCATAGTCTGCGCCGTTGGCAAACTTACCTTCGTTGGTGTCTTCAGAAGTTATGATCAATTCAAAGTCTGTACCATCACCAAGTCGATTCATGGTTATGATCTCTCGTTTCAATTCGAAGACCGAGATGCCAGTCCCATCAAAGGCTACCCTAGATGGCTCCCTTTGAGATTTGAAGCGGAAGAACACGGAAGAGGACATGATGCTTAGGATCTAATTCACAGATAGTTCAGATAGGGAGGCTTGTTGAGCGATAATAGCGTCCGAGGAAAGCGAAACCGGGTGTCGTCTGCAAGGGTCTAGGTCGTGGAGGCTCAACAGCAGTTGGTGAGGTCGTAGACCCACTCAAGAACGATCTTAGGACGTCGAACGGCAAGATTCAAGATTAGTATTCTGAACAAGAGATTAATTGTGTCTTGCAATATCCTAAAGCAGTCTGTTCTTGCTAGCACAAATCGTTTTCTTGGATTTTGAGCGCTGGATGAGCACAAGCACAGAGTTCGCAGTATGCCTGATTACAGAACCCTCTGACTCGTATACACAGCAGAAACTCCGAAAAAGAAAGAATTTGAATGTTAAACAGTGGACAGCAGTCCCTAACAGCATCAAAAACCCCAGGCACGAACCCAATGCCAGCAGTATTCCCCTCCTCCAATGTCCTCAACCAAGACCAGGATATTAATAGGCCTTGACCTTCTTGTGTTTGGATTGATGTGAGTATGATAGTATGTGCTAGATGACTCAGTCGCGAGTCGATATCGAGCAGGGAGCGGGTGAGCGGGTGAGCAGAACGACGCCAACGTAGAGTCGATCTGGACTGAACAGTGGAGAAAGAGGCGAAGGTCAAGATGTGTCTGAGATGGGTGTCAAATCAGCGTGATGTACGCTGCTGTTGGTGAAGATTGATTGTGGATTGATGGATGAAAGGAAAGGAAGAAATGAGTTGGAAAACTTGAAGAAAGAGAATGGAAGGCGGCAAGGCGTGGATGGCTTGGCGCTATGTCAAGTGGCAAGTTTGCATGACTCAGCATGGCCTTGCCGCCTTTCAATTTTTGCCTCCGTCCCTCAGCTAAGTTTCTTCGGGTTATTCGTATATACCCGGAAGTGCCCGATACCTGGTAATGCCCGATTTCAAATCCGATAAGTCCGGCGCAACACCAAAATATGGGCATTGTCTTTGATTTTACTATATATACTATCTGAATAAGATATTATACTATATCGAGGCTCTATAATATAGTAAAATACTATAAAGAATAGTTTACTTATTTATAGCTAATTACTAGCTTCGCTAATAGATAAATTTAAATATAAGCTTTATTATAGACTTTATTAAAGGCTTTATTATAGTAATAATAGCGAGATAAAAGAGATAGAAGAGATAAAAGAAATAGAAGAGATAAAAAAGATAAAAGAGATAATAAGATAGTTAAAGAAGATATAATAGAAGAAGAGATAGTAAAAGAAAATATAATAGAAGAAGAGATAGCGACGATTTTTTCATAAATCGATAGATTAATAAGATCTAAAAAACGTTAAATTAAATTCTGAGATATATTAATATTACTAGTAATAAAAGTTTAATATTATTCTTTATAATTATATCGAGTTATTATAGAATTTTAATAAAAGATAGATATTTTAATATTACGTTAAACTTATCGAATTTTAAATCAAATATTACTAGATATTAAATACTTTTAAATATATACGAATAATATAATCTATTTATCTTAGCGAATATCTTAGCGATTTACTATAACTTTATTTAATAGTAAATTTATAGTTCTAGAATAATTTCTTAAAAAATCGTATTAGTACGTTATCTTCGCCTTTAGATAATAAAGATTTTAATATATTTTTAAAAAGTTACGATTAAAATTCTTAATATATCTTTCGAATCTCGATTTATTATCTATAATATTTTAACTAGCGTAAAATCTAGATTTAATAAAACTTAATAATATATTCGATTTATAAGCTCTATTATAGTTATAATTAATCTTTACTATCTATTTCTATTACTTAGATAAATTACTCTTATAAGAAAATTATCTAAACTAATTATTTTTAAAGTTAGATTTTGAAAGCGTGAATTTTTTAAGTGCGAAGTTAGAGAGCTAATCTAAAGGGGCTTGGTGAGGGCCACTAAGCTGAAAGGGCTTAGCGATTCTTGGCACGTCTGAGGGACTGGGCAATTCAACACCTCTAGCACCAGTTAGTGCTTGAATCTTTGGTGTTTTCAACACGAGTACAGCTTGAGCTGTCTTAGTTATAGCTTTTTAATGTGCACCAGGTGTCGACAGATTTCTCCACCCCGAGGTTTACCCGGCTACTGCCGGCTTCCTTCCCCCATCAAAAACAATATTCATACTCTTGAATATCTACATAACCACACTATGGATCCACCTTATACTTCTACGCGTAACCCTCCTCTAGCTAATTACGAGGCTACTACTCGCCGCAAAGCCAAATTTTTGAGGCTATTGACTTACGGGCCTCGATCAATCGATTCGAGATATATATAATGAGAAAGAAATCCTTTATGATATGGGTAAGTATTGACTACGAAGGCGTAGAATTAAGGGGTCTTCTAGCACAAGATATACCAGCAAAAATCGCCCTGGACGTACTCCCAAAATTTCTACAGAAATTCTTCGAAAAATGGTCAATCCAGCCGAGAATCTACGGGTCATTCATGAGGAATTTGAGGGGATTTCTATGTACGAAGTCCCGGCCCGTATCGCTGAAATGCCTTGGCGATATCGTCAACTAGTAGAAATTGGTGGTAGACGTATTAAATCTGATTTATGGTGATATTCAGAAGGAATATATATGGTAGATTCTTAGTTTTCTTCAAATGCGTGCAGTAGCCGGGTAAACCTCGGGGTGGAGAAATCTGTCGACACCTGGTGGTGTTGATGGATCGATGTTCGAGAATGAAGGCTTTGCAATGCGGGATTTCCGGCTTACATTGTTGCTCAACCTGAATTGGTGGCGAGACTGTATGTTACTTGTAGCTTTCTTGAGTCTATCTAGTTGTCTGAAAAAATCCGATATAAATGTTTCCCGTGCTTGGATATTTAATGACCGTTCACATTCGGTCTTCAAATCGTCTCACCAAGAAGCCCTTCTCCGCCAAGTAATCTTTGACTTCCTTCACTGTATACTCGGCACGGTGGAACTATTGAGGGCTTTAGCAAGTAGCGATGACAGATTAGTGTAAAGACATACCATGCCAGCTCCCAAAGCAGCATCTGTCGGTGTTAGCTCAAAGACTTGTTCAAAATGTGCGGGACTGCCGGCACCACTCGATGATATGACCGGAATCTTGACCGAGCTTTTCACATCGTTAATCAACTCCAGATCGAACCCGCTGCTGCTGCCGTCCTTGTCTATACAATTGAGTAGAATTTCGCCGGCGCCCATAGCCTCAACTGCTATGACCAATTGATGGACGTCAATATCTCGTCCTTCGCGCCCACCTTTGATGGTGCACTGGTACCAGCAATATTCCTCACCTGAAGGGCCAGGATATTGCGTTTTGATTGCGTGGTGACCCGTCTCGTTAGGCGACTTCGTGTAGACCCGCTTGGGATCGACGCTGACCACAACCGCTTGGTTTCCATACGCAGCAGAGATCGTCTCAATTGCCGTTGTCCTAGATAGGCGTTTCCCGTTCTCAAAGTACTCCTCAGCAGCCACAACAGCATCGGATCCAATGCTGACCTTGTCAGCACCAGACTTGAAGTACAGCGTGGCGACTTCGAGAGCTGATACTTTCGTACCGTCGATATCAATCGTGTCCCTGATCCCTCCGCCTATCGTCAATGGTACAAAGACGTTCTCTGACGTTCGCCGCAATATTTCGAGCATAGGCAAGTCTGCTAAGGGACAATTGCGGAAAGACGTGATATTGAGAAAGGTTATCTCGTCAGAGCCTTGCTCGTAGTATCTTCGGGCCATGTCTACCGGTTTACCCAGATTTCGGACTTGCCCTCCGCTCACAGCACTGCCTTTTTCCCGGACGTCATACTGATCTCCCTTCGTAACCACCAGATCACCTTGGTCATTCGTGCGTACATCAAGGCACGCAATGACTCTGCGGGTGAGGCCTTGACTGGTGTCGTTCTGTGATACTCCTCCTAAAGACTCCCACCTTTTGCCTTCAAGGAAGGCTTTGAGGACCCTCAAGCCAGCAACCCCACTCTTTTCCGGATGAAACTGGGTTGCGAAGACATTACCTCGGCCGATGGCGCCTACAAACTGCTCCTCGCCGTACTTTGCAATTGCAACGGTCCAACCATTGTGCTCAAGTAGTCCTAGCCGGTACGGAACTGCGTACGAGTGGACGTAGTAGTACTTGCTGCTATCTCGTAGCCCATAAAAGCTTTCATGCTGCGAGGCACCGTTCTCAGACACTCTGGCCGAGTTCCAACCAATGTGCGGGACACTTTTGTCCACATTATCAAACTTGGTCAGGCTTCCTGGGACGATGCCAAGACCTGGAACGTTCGGGTTCTCCGCAGATCCATCGAACAATGCTTGAAGACCGACACATATTCCCATGAAATTTTTTCCCGACTCGATGTGCTTACGAATGGGTTCGAGATAGCCACTGCGGGAAAATTGAGTGAGACAATGTCCAAAATGACCCACACCCGGTAATATTAGTGACTATTTTCATGTTATCAGCAACTTCACTGCTGATCCTTATCTCAGCATTCTTTCCGTTATCGGTTTGAATGCTGTCCACGAACCTCGGCCTTTTCAATATCTTTAGGTTCTTTGATCCATTCTATCTGAAAACCCAGTTTTTCGATCGCATTCGCTAGAGAGCGCACATTGCCAGCAACGTAATCTAGGAGATGTACGGTAGACATAATTTATCATGCTCACTTGATGACCTATTCAAGAACGTATAGACTAATCGCAACGAAATTAAGAACAGAACTTATGAGTCATCTTTGCACTTTCTCAGAAAATCTCGACATCTTCAAGTACACTAAGGTGGATACTTTATACTAAGTTTGGCGGCAGTCTTCCGGGAAGCGCGGCAAATTCGTCTAGGTACTCAGATTTGAAGTTCATGCCACGGAATACTCATACGCCCAAGCTCCACAAAGACGAAGTCATCTATGGAAAGGCTCTCCTGGAAACGCAGAAAGTCCAGCTACCGCTAAACGGAGCGCTTATATTTCCCTTTCCACCACAGGACCTTACTCCATTACGCCTCGTTAATGGCTTATGAAGTTTGTAGCCCAAAACAGAGACTCTGGTCTGCAACCTCAACGCGTGGATTGGCTAAGTTTTCGAGAAGTCAGTCTGGGCAGATACAGGCACTGAAAGCCGTAAGAGTATAGTCCTCTTATCAAGAGCGTAGATCAACCCGGAGACGTAACATCCGAACCCCGATCTTGGGCAGCCGCGCTCTTGAGGGTGTATGTGGTGAAACCACATATTGGAGCCAGGTCTGCATTGCTTTTGGCGTCGCTTTCTGGGGGTGGCAGAGCTATTACGATAAGTCGAATTATCTGCCATATGACGGATGCTAAGAAAAGTGAGATGGAATTCCTCTTTGCTCCGTTTGTTGTAGCTTACCCTCGACGTCACGAAGGCGGAGACCAGACCAGAATTCAGCGCAGTCCACGCCCATCCAGCACATTTTCTGCCACGTCTATGCGAGATGGACTAACCCTTTGCGAGGCTGCAATCCAGTTAGCAGGTCAAAAGGATTAATGCGAGAACAAGCTTTACTGGAGAAAATTGGCGTAGCTTGACACCGCCCTCGACAAATACAGCCGCTGTCTGCTCATTTTGATTAGGACTGTGGTTACCTGATGTGCGAAGGGATGTGCTAACTTCATTGTCCATGCCATAACCTTGTGAGTAGACAACTTCGGATATCCCAACCTGAGTGATTTTGATGCTGCAAGTCAAGCAAGGACAGCTACACGCAAAGCGTTAGCTCACACAGATCAAGAGGCTTGCCGCGGGACCTACGTATTGCAATAGAGAATAGAGCCTTCTCTGATCCGTTCTCGACCTGCTTCAAGTAGCGCATTCTCTTCCGCGTGAATGCACCTGCACGTTGAGAGACTGACACCAGCTTTATGTCCAGCATTGCATCGTGCACCTGGCAAGTTCAGCGATACATCTTCCACGCTTTCTTGGGGACACTAACAGCCGCCTTCGTTACAATTTTTCAGATTTCTAGGCGTACCATTGTAGCCTGTACTAATCACTCTTTTTTCGCGGACAAGGACACATCCTACTCGCCGTTTCATGCAATTACTCCTTTGCGCAGCAAGGGACGCTAGTTGCATGAAGTACTGATCCCAATTTGGTCGTAGGCGTTGCTCATTCGCCAAGTCTAGATCCCGTAAGGTCTCATGTAAAGTATCAATGGACTGCGTCTGGTTTACTAGGCGAACTTCTGCGCGATCAATGAGGCAAGCCAGACCGATCTTCGAATTGTACAAATGGTCATCATTGCGAAATACGAATTCTTCCAGGGTTGGCGAGGCCATGTTTTGCTGTTCACATCTTGATTGTCAGTCTCCTAGGTCTGGGGCTATTGGTCTTTGCCAAATTTACCGATTCTTGAGACGTTTCCACCGCATGCTCACGGGGGCATCCACACTAACGAGAATGAAAGATGGCCGCCTTAACAGGTTCTCTAATATGTTTTCATCCCACACATCCGTCATTACCCAGCGTTGCTGCCATTGTTTTGTAACGAAATCCAATAGAGATTGCACACAGGCAAAAGAGTTCTCTTTGGCATCGTGTTGCTCGACTTCCAGTAGTGGAGATGGTTGTAGAGCCAGATGCAGCCTTACAAACCCAACATTTTCTGTCAGATATTCGGCAACTGAGTTCTTCCCCGCGCAGATCCCTATAGCATGTTATGAGCCTCTCAGGCAAGGGAATACGTGTAAAGTGATGACTTGCCTCCACATAAACCAACAAGCATTGTGATATTTCACTAAATGGCAATGCTACGATTAAAAGGACAGAGATTCATAAAGCGATCGACATGCTCGAAAGTGTCGAAGCCAGGTACACGCGTGTGATCGGCGTCGAGGCCCGGCCCGACCCGAGGGAGCCCTACCTGTATGTAGTGTGCGTCACCCGACCCGGACCTGGGATCTAGGACCTGGGGCACCTGCCTCAGTCGGCAGCATTGTTTACTGACTGTACAGACGAAGTACTTGTACATATCGGCCCCGCTCTTGACGTGAACGACATCAGTGTGACTCTTACGCAACACGCAATGTTGAAGTTCGCGACCTTCACCTCAGACATCGAACTGCCCTTCTACACGTCTCTCGCTTCTCATAAGATCAATCATGATAAGCTCGACGACTCGGCTAGAAGGCTTCTTGGACTATATGAGATTAGATCGAGCGATTCGCCAGAGGCTTCATGTCGCCTGCAGATTCATGGCAACGCGCTAACGAGTGATGCTGTCCCGGCGGGCTTTTGTCGAGCTGAAGGCATGATCAAAAATTTCAACACAATCGAAGATTATAGAAGTCTAGACAAGGGAGCGGTATTATCGCAGGCAGCTTGCACCATCTGGGATGCGATTAATGATGGCACGATATACTCATGCCCTTCGCTACTCGCCTCCTTCACTGCGATCTGCTTTGCAGACCTCAAGAAATACAAGTTCACCTACCTCTTCGCTTTTCCAGCTCTCCACTCAGACTCCCCTTGGAGACTAGTACCCAATGTGGGATCGCGTCTGGGATTGGATGAAGGTAGTCATGGAGAAGGCGATGCGATTATTCACATGACAGGTGAAGAGACGGCAGCACTAGTGGACTCCGTACAGACCTGGCGATATAGAGTTGATGCGCGGCAGCACGGCTTCTTTCTTGCCAAGAAACGACGGCCAAGCTCGTTCGTCGGGTACACTCGTAAAGGTGAAGCAACTGAAGATGGTAGTGGCCTGGACGATGAGACTGGTTATAGGCCAACAACCCCTGGGACACCCGGGGACAAACTGGGATTCACTTGGGCTGTCGGGTCGCTGATAGATTATGAGCGCGAGTTCTTTGAAGACATACCCGAAGAGGATCGATTCGTCGGTTTCACGGATCCCTCTACGTACCCAACGTATCCGGGCTGGATGCTACGAAATCTACTGATTCTAATACGCAGGCGATGGAAGACGGACAGGGTCCAGATCATATGTTATAGAGATGTCCAAGCGCGCCGGGACGAAGCAAAAAGTATCATACTTCCATTGGTGCTGGAAGCCAGTGATGCATCTACCTCATCCGCTCAGAACTCTTCACTTTCAGACAAGATGCCAAAAGTAACAGGCTGGGAGCGTAACAGCGCAGGTAAAGTGATGAGTCGGATTGCAAATCTAGGGGAATACATGGACCCTCAAAGGTATTCTCGAAGTTGGAGTTCGAACCAGAGAGCAACATCTGACTGCTATTCCTAGATTGGCCGATCAAGCTGTTGATCTGAACTTAAAGCTTATCAAATGGCGCATTGCACCGGGGCTGGACCTGGACAAAATCAAAGACACGAAATGTTTACTTCTAGGGGCAGGGACATTGGGCAGCTATGTTGCGCGCAATCTTATGGTGCGTATATGGTTTTCGCTAGCTACTGGCTTTATTGTTACTGAGCGGCTGTTCCGATCCTAGGGTTGGGGCGTTCGAAAGATCACTTTCGTTGATAATGGTTCCGTGTCATTCTCCAACCCTGTTCGCCAACCGCTCTTTGATTTCGAGGATTGTCTTGGTGGCGGAGCAAAAAAGGCAGTCCGAGCATCACAAGCGCTGAAGGAGATATACCCCGGGGTCGATTCGAGCGGCTACGTGATGTCAGTTCCTATGGCGGGCCACCCTATCATGGACGAAGCGGTTGTCAAGTCAGAGTTTGAGACCTTACAGCAGCTCATCGAAGAACATGACGCCATCTTTTTGCTCATGGACACCCGTGAAAGTCGATGGCTGCCGACGGTTATGGGCAAAGCAGCAAATAAAATAGTCATGAACGCGGCGTTGGGTTTCGACTCCTTCGTTGTCATGCGGCATGGTATGAGCAGCTCCAGCCCGGGGCAAGAGTTGGGTTGTTACTTCTGTAATGATGTTGTAGCTCCGGCAGATGTAGGTCGACCATCGAGCTAATAAATTCCAAGAGGCTGATCACCTTCTCTCGCAGTCGGTGACAGATCGAACTCTTGACCAGCAGTGCACAGTTACCCGTCCCGGGATTGCAGCGATAGCTTCTGCAATGCTCGTCGAGATCCTTGTGTCCTTAATACAACATCCATTAGGAGCCTCCGCTCCAGCGTCATCCGATACAACGGAGGACCGTGGAGATCATCCTCTAGGTCTCGTGCCTCATCAGATTCGTGGCTATCTATCAAATTTCCAGAACATCATGATAAAGGGCAAAAGCTACGACTGCTGCAGCGCTTGCTCGGACAACATCACTGGGGCTTTCAAATCTGAGGGTTGGCAATTTGTAAGGAAAGCACTCAATGAGAAAGGCTTCGTCGAGGATCTCAGCGGATTAGCAGAGGTGAGAACATTGTCAGTACCCAACATCACAAGACTGACGCACCGCAGGTCCAGCGATCAGCAGAGAAAGCACTGGCCGAGATGGAATGGAGCGACGAAGGAGAGAACGAGGAAGGTGAAGGCGAGATAATCTGAAGAATGGTTGCACAGTCTGCATTTTCCGGCCTCAAGGTGTTGTGATTGGTTGACCTGCATTGACATTGAAGCTGGCATTTAGTGGAGTTTGAATAATGTCTTGGATCCACGTTGTTGGGGTTTCAGCGCTGAGACGTGTATCACTATTGCGGTAATATATACCACTTATATTCGAAGCCTCTGTTCCTCTAGTGATGCTACGAGCCAGCTCTTCTTCTCAGTGCGACAAAGTAAGCTTCCTTTGATTCCTGTTCAATACGTCAGCCTCACCGTTATTAACAAGGTTTTGATCTCTCACGCTGCGTGAAGATTCTGGCTTCTCTCTATGGACCCTTGAAAAAAGGGTCTTCAATCGGAGCTCTAGAGCCTTGTCCTCTGAACCTTGATAGAATTTGCAGACGAAATGTCCGCCAGTTCGCAACGTGTCGAAAGTAAAGCGTAGTGCAGCGTCACATAGATCCTATGATGCCCTCCAATTAGCTTTCTAGAGTGTACAAGGTCGGTATTGCTTTTACCATACTACCGGCATGATCTCTGAAGCTCACGCCGCTCGTATTCATCATCCTATAATACGGGTCACTCAGACTCCTCTTCCAAAAGCCTTCTGTCTGCTCCCAGGGTTCGGACATATCGCTGAGCACAACATCCACCATTCCGCTGTCCACCTTGCCAGTCCCAGACCTGCCTCCCCTTGTTTTTTGCGCGGCTGAAACAGCATGGCTCGAGGTTTCCACGTCGGCTCTCTTCTCAAGCTCGAGGTAGCTCCTCGAGCTCTGTTCAAGATCTTCCTCCGTCATCTGGTCTTCTCCCTCCTCTGCGATAAAGGATGGCTCCTGTTTGATCCGTCCTCGATCAGATTCGCGCAGAAACCTCTTTACTTCCTCCTGTATAGCTGGTGAGAGGAAATTTCCTTGAATGGTCGAGACACCTTTGGGTGGTTGAGCGGGGATAATGTCAATACCCAGCACTCTTCCGTTGGGAAAAGTACGGTCTACTGCAACCTAAAGCGGATAAGACACATTAAATGCTGCGCTGAAAGTAAAGACGTAGTGATGACCAACTTGCGACCAGGATCCAGGAGCGTACCCCTATACTTGTCAGCGCTCGGTGTTGGATTTTAGAGAGCATGTGTACCAAATCCACAACTGTCTGACCTCCACGGAATATCTTGTATCTCTCATTGATCTGATCAGTATGTTCAGCAGACAGGACTCGCCCAAGAAGGTCATGAAATGGACGGCGGGCTAGAGCTGACCTCTAAGAGCTTGAATGCAGCGCGGCTTTTCAGACCTTGTACTTTTGCATTGACGGCATATTTGTCTTTGACTTGTCGTGTCTGCCATCGTTTGGAGGAGGCTGAGGAAGAGTATTGTTGGATAGGCAAGCCATCCTGTTGGACCAGCAAACGTCCTCCCAGCGCCCAGCGAGCCTGACAATTTGTTTGGACGCAGGTACAAGTCAATGTAGGTTGGAATAGATCTCTGTATTTGGAGCCACTTTTTGGCCTTCTACGAAACATGAACTCAACAAATGGCCATGACTGCTAAGAGTACGGAGAATGGGGTCCTGCACCCGCCAAGGGTTAGGTCTGCTACTAGCGCGAGTGCAGAACTTCTGGTGTCAACCTACTCCGGGTTACAGCTCGGTAGGGGTGAAAAAAAGTTCGGCAGGGGTGAAGCTTCGGCATATGCTCGCTTCACCCCGGATGAACTCATAGCATATGCTGAACGTATCCGTTTCACCCCCGATCAACTCGGGCCGGGTCTGTCACGGTACGCCAAGGCCTCCTCCAGAGCCACCACCCATTTGGGCCTAGCGTGGCTTGGCACCACACATATCTGCCCTGCAGGCACATAGAATAATCAAGATCTTTTACACCACACATGAATTCATGACCCAGTCATCCATTTCCTTGACAGGGTCGAAAATAATATCGTCACTTTAGAGGGGGATAGAGGTATATACTATGTATATGCTATAATTTTATTTATTTAATTAATATAATTAGAAAGCTAGCTTTCTTTCTATCGATAATTTTAAAAAGTATTATTAAGATCTAAATCGAGAAAGTTAGATATTTATTCGAGAAGTAACTAAATTTCTTAGCTATAAATATTAAATTTTATTAATAATCTTAACTTTATCTTCGTCTCTCTTTATTTCTTCTTTAAAAGAATTTTATCTCTATAAATTATATCTTAATTAACTCTTTTTAATTATAATATCTCTTTTTCTACTATTATATATATTATAAATTATTATTAAAAAAAGTATTAATAATAGAAAAATAAATATATTCTTTCTTAATTATACTTTTAAAATTAGTTATAATTTTAAAGAAATTAATAAAATCTATAATAATATTAAGATTCTATACTTTATAATATTATAATATACTATTAATCTTAATCTATAATATCTTATAGATTTTTTTAATATATATTTAAAGACTTTAATAAATCGTTTATTAAACTTCTTTTTAATTTTTCTTTTTAATATAATAATTTTTAATTTCGCTATTAAGATTCTATATAATATTTAATCTTTAATATATAAGATTTATATTAAAATTATAATTTTTCTACTTAATAAGATTATAATATTTATTATTTAAAGAAATCTATTTATATTTAATAAGTAGAGTAAAATAAAGAGTTTCGAAATATAATAGAATAGATAAAAGATACTTAAATTCTCTATAAATATAATATTATTTTAAAACTATATAATAATATTATTAATATTATTACTATAAGTAAAGATAAGAATAATAAATATAAGAATAATAAGAATAAGAATAATGAGGATAAGAATAATAAGAACGATAATAGAATATATTACGAGTAATTACTTAACGCTCTCGAGAATATATACTCTTAAATATAAAGCGAGTCTCGCTTAATCTTCTTAGAACGATTAATATTTAATTATAATATATATATTTACTCGACGATATCTACTATAATTCGATATAATAATTATAAAATTATAGAGAATCTTATATATTTTAAGATTAATTAACGATATAATCTATTTCTTAGATATCGCTATAGAAAGAATTTGAAGAATTAATTAAATATAGTATTATAAATATATTTAATTATAGCGATATTCTTAGTATTTTCATAATATTACTTAGCTAGCTTTTTATTATTAAGTAATCTATATCTTAGTATATATTAAGTAAGTAACTTATTATTATTAATAATTATATTAATAAATATACTATTTAATAAATCTGCATATACTAAGCATCAGCACCGTATATTCTATATATACTCTAAGGATTTCCATATCTCGCATACGTAAAAATCGCTGGACTGAATTTAATTTTCTTCACCCCCGATGAGGTGCTGACATATGCTGAGTGTATTCCTTTTACCTCGGACGAGGTGCATATACTTAGCATCTACTCACCTCTGCCGAACTTTTTTTCACCCCTACCGAGCTGTAAGCCCCACGAGTACTGTCCAGAAGTGAGTTCTTTGATAGAGCGAGGACATCAATAGATTAACCGATATTCGGCTAAGTGAAAGGATTTATTAGTGTCCTCGCTCTATTAAAGAACTTACTTCTGAATAGCATAAGTATATATCTTAGTTAAGCTCGGTTAATTGAAAAGCTAGCTTTCTTTCTATTAATAAATTTTAAAAAGTATTACTAAGATCTAAATTAAGAAAGCTAGATATCTATTCGAGAAGTAACTAAATTTCTTAATTACGAATATTAAATTTTATTAATAATCTTAACTTTATCTTCGTCTCTCTTTATTTCTTCTTTAAAAAAATTCTATCTCTATAAATTATATTTTAATTAATTTTTTTCAATTATAATATCTCTTCTTCTACTATTATATATATTATAAATTATTATTAAAAAAAGCGTTAATAATAGAAAAATAAATATACTCTTTTATAATTACATTTTTAAAATTAATTATAATTTTAGAGAAATTAATAAAATTTATAGTAATATCGAGATTTTATACTCTATAATATAATAATATACTATTAATCTTAACTTATAATATCTTATAAATCTTTTTAATATATATTTAAAAGCTTTAATAAATTATCTACTAGATTTCTTTTTAATTTTTTTTATCGATATAATAATCTTAAATTTTACTATTAAGATTTTATATAATATTTAATCTTTAATATATAGAATTTATATTAAGATTATAATCTTTCTATTTAATAAGACTATAATATTTATTATTCGAAGAATTCTATTTATATTTAATATGTATAGGATTAGTATAGAGTTGCGATATTAGTATAAGTGGGGAAAAAAAGAAGGGGGGGGAAAAAAGGGATATAATAGAATAGATAAAAGATACCTAAATTCTCTATAAATATAATACTATTCTAAAACTATATAATGATATTATTAATATCATTACTATAAGTAAAGATAAGAATAATAAAGATAAAGATAATGAGAATAAGAACGATGAGGATAAGAATAATAAGAACGATAATAAGATATATATTAGAGCAATGGCACTTAACGCTCTCGAGAATATATACTCTTAAATATAAAGCGAGTCTCCCCTAATCGTCTTTTTAAAACGATTAATATTTAATTATAATATATATATTTACTTAACGATATTTACTATAATTTAATATAATAATTATAAAACTATAGAGAATCTTATATATTCTAAGATTAATTAACGATATAATCTATTTCTTAGATATCGCTATAGAAGGAATCTTGAAGAATTAATTAAATATAGTATCATAAATATATTTAATTATAGCGATATCCTTAGTATTTTCAGTAATATTACTTAGCTAGCTTTTTATTATTAAGTAATCTATATCTTAATATATATTAAGATAGTAACTTATTATTATTAATAATTATATTAATAAATATACTATTTAATAAATCTGGCATAGCCTAAGCCTGGAGCATCCTGTATATTTGCTATTATCCCATGCTCTTCCATCAAGATTTCCATCGGTCGCACTGACGTAAAAACTCGATGCACTGAATTATAATTTTCTTCACACCTGTTGAGCCTGGCCTGATTCACTGTACATTTGCCTTGTGTCTCCCATGCTCTTGCCATCGGAAGTCCATCCTCCATCCTTTGTCTCTTGCTCGAACTTTCGTTCACCTCCACCGCTTTGTAAGCCACCGCTTCGACTGTCCAGAAGTCCGAGTTCTTTGATAGAGCGAGGACATCAATAGATTAACCGATATTCGTCCTAAGCTGCAAGGATCCCATGTCCCCGCCCTATTAAAGAACTTCCTTATAGCATAAGTATATATCTTAGTTAAGCTCGGTTAATTGAAAAGCTAGCTTTCTTTCTATTAATAAATTTTAAAAAGTATTACTAAGATCTAAATTAAGAAAGCTAGATATCTATTCGAGAAGTAACTAAATTTCTTAATTACGAATATTAAATTTTATTAATAATCTTAACTTTATCTTCGTCTCTCTTTATTTCTTCTTTAAAAAAATTCTATCTCTATAAATTATATTTTAATTAATTTTTTTCAATTATAATATCTCTTCTTCTACTATTATATATATTATAAATTATTATTAAAAAAAGCGTTAATAATAGAAAAATAAATATACTCTTTTATAATTACATTTTTAAAATTAATTATAATTTTAGAGAAATTAATAAAATTTATAGTAATATCGAGATTTTATACTCTATAATATAATAATATACTATTAATCTTAACTTATAATATCTTATAAATCTTTTTAATATATATTTAAAAGCTTTAATAAATTATCTACTAGATTTCTTTTTAATTTTTTTTATCGATATAATAATCTTAAATTTTACTATTAAGATTTTATATAATATTTAATCTTTAATATATAGAATTTATATTAAGATTATAATCTTTCTATTTAATAAGACTATAATATTTATTATTCGAAGAATTCTATTTATATTTAATTGTCAGGACCAGCATAGATGCGATATTAGTATAGGTGAGGTAGATAGAATAATAAGGCTATCGAACTATATAGGTGGGAAGGAGGCATAATATAGTAGGAGATGCCTCCGCCAAGGCCCGCTAGCCATAGGGCTGAGTGGTGTGTCAAGGGTACGCTCGTAACATTAATAAGTAGAGTGAGATAAAGAGCTTCGAGATATAATAGAATAGTTAAAAGATACTCGAATTCTCTATAAATATAATATTATTCTAAAGCTATATAACGATATTATCGATATCATTATTATAAATAAAGATAAAAATGATAAGAATAAGAATAATAAGAATAAGAATAATAAGAATAAGAATAATAACGATAATAAGATACGTTATAAGTAGTTACTTAACGCTCTCGAGAATATATACTTTTAAATATAGAGCGAGTCTCGCTTAGTCTTTTTAGAATAATTAAT